CTTCAAGTTGGTGAATCTGATTATAAAGAAATTTATAAAAAGAATGAAATTGTTTAGCATTAATTTCAAAGTCTTATCTCCTTCAAAATCCAAATTTAAAAATTATTGCTTCACTCACAGTGTAGCGGTGCATAACTGTTATTTTAACACTCAAGAGATTGAAGCAGGAGGATGAGGAGTTAAAGCTTAACCTCAGATACATAGGAAGGCCAAGGCTAGCCTTGGCTACAAAACTCCCTCCCCCTCCAAAGAAAAAAAGAAAGAAAAAATTTAAATTTAAAATAATTTCATTTTTCCATTACTGTGTGTACTACCCAATTAATTCAAATTTATGTTCTTCACATAGGAATGTAGGACAAAAACATGGAGGCCAAGCATTGTATTCAAAAGAGATACCTTGCTTATAAGAGAAGTCAGAGAAGATGACATTGGAAACTATACCTGTGAATTAAAATATGGAGGCTTTGTTGTGAGAAGAACCACGGAGTTAACTGTTACAGGTAATCAGTCTTCAGTATTTCATTTGCAAGTAATGTGACTGCCTTTTTGAGTAAGTTTACGGCTGCCTGTTGACGTTTTTTTCAACCTATGCAATGAACAAAGCACTCAACCAAATGCTAAGTGGGTTCATATAGGTGAAATTTGTTTCTCTTTGCTTTTGTATTATCTTGTGCTGAAATAGATTTGAGGGGTCAAAGAGAATGAGTTTAGGGAATTACACAAATGTCAGCTTTTGAAAGTACTTGAAATAATGAGTTTACAATTTGTGAATACTGTGCTTGTAATGTGTAATGTCATGGTTTTTGGAAACATTTTCTAGAAATATTTCTAGAGAAGAAATGGGTTATATGAAATATAATTCTGTATTTCTATTTTGCTCCTAATCAGTTGAATCTTTTTAACTCTTGCAAAAATATGGCATATATGATCTCAAAAATTTGCAAATAACCAAATTTTAAGTAAAATTTTAAATGTGATCTTTTTGAAAGGAATTAGCCTCATATCTTGCTAAGGCGGAAAATCACGAAAACAATAAACACAATATTGTCTATAAAAAGTTAAACTACAATCTAGTGGTCACCAAGGCTTGGTTGAATTACTCCAACCTTCAGAACATTAGCTTTCTCATATTTAAAGTGGTGATGATGAAACTTCCGTCATAGGGGACTGGCAAGTATCAAAGGAAGTAAAGTGATATGTATACAATACATTTGCAAAGAGAGAGTTCAAATGTTCTGTATTTGAGCCGTGTATAGAATTGTATACATGATCTTATTTTTCTTCTTAGAAATTATCATTTTTAAAAAATTAGCTCCATATGGAAGAAAGAAGGGGCACAGGTCCCAAAAAGGAAGTTACAGATATAATTTCACATTTGTACTGAAAGAGATTCTTGATGACTTTTCCTGGTCATATTTATGAAACATTTATAGAAAAGCAAAACAAGAACATTAGCTGATTCAACTACATTCCTTTGTTAATTCACTTAAAACAGTTCTCTTCTATATGAAAAAAAATGTTTTCGAGATAGTCATATATACCCCATAAGAATCCATTTCTTTCAAATCTTCAGGTATGGTATAATTTGACTTAAAAGCACATTTGATTTCATGAAATTCGTTTGATTAAACAGCAATTAATCTGACAAGTGGAAATTTCATTAAATGAGTAAGGTGCACCTTGGCAATCCTGTGATAAATATTAAAAAGAATGAACAGCTGACACTTGCAATATATGATAATCTTGAATAGTAAACACACATTTAGTCTCTGATTTGTATTATGTATCTGTCATAAACATGTATATGATTTGTAATTATTTAGTTTGCAGTTTGACTGTGTGTAATAGATCACTGCGTAGAAAATTCAGACCAGTACTTTATCATTTTTACTCCCTATCATTTTAATGGGCCATATTTGTTTTCCTAATCCACCACAGAATCTACAAGGATTCTTTCCTTCCATCCACAAATCCTCATCAAATTTGTTGGCAGCCATTTTGTGTGCAATGAGATGAAATTTCATTGTAAAATTAAATTATTTTTCCATAATTGTTGAGGATAGTGAACTCCTTTTTTCTCAAAAAATAAAGGTGAATACTTTATTAGAAAACTGTTTTAAAAATTATTAAACAAGTAAACAAATACAAGTTACTTACTTGCTTTTTTCACATTTTTATTGTTTGATAATTTCTATATGAAAATAATGTCTTTTGATCAAATTCACCCCCTATTCCTCACCCAAAAATTTCTTCCCTATCTCCCCACCATGACTTTCCCCTCCCAACTTCATGTGCTCTTTTTTTATAATCCTTTTTTTGTATTTTGTGGTTATTTTTATTTTATGTACAAGCAAGAGTGTTTTGCTTCTATGTGTGTATGTGCTCCTTGTGTGTGTGGTACCTGCAGAGGCCAGAAGGGTCAGAACCACTGCAACTGAAGATACAGAATGGTGGGAACTGCCATGTAGATGTTAAGAACAATTCTTGGTCCTCTGTAAGATTAGCAATTGCTCTTAACCGTTGAGCCAATTCTCCAACCCCATGGGCTCTGTTTTAAAACAACTGAGTCAGTGCTACCTGTATGTGCATGTTTATAGGACCATGTACTGGAACATGGGTATCCTTGCAGGGACCACATCCCTAAAGAAAACTGACTGTCCCTCCCCCAACATACATAAACTTCGAATAGCTTCTCAACTACAGTGGGATTGTATGAGGCACTGCCTTATCCATGCTGGTAGGTTGACTAGTTTGCTCACACACAGTCTTTGTGCATTTGGTCACAGCCGCTGTGAGTTTATAAGTTAAACAACCTTATCCTCTTTTGGGAATCTGCTGCTGTCTGCATAAACAGACATTATTCAAGGATCAGCACACGCCTTACTAGTCCTCTCCTTTGTTACTTTCTGGCTTGTCTCTCCTAGTCTTATTGTCCTACCTTGACAGTTCTGAACAACTGGTGGTTCAGAGCAGAAAATCATGACAATTTGTGTGTATAGTCAAGAGGCCTGTTGGGTCAGGAGGGACAGGGCCAACCTGGGAGTGCTGGAAAGAAAGATTCAAGAGGCGTGGACAGCATATATGTTGGGAAGCAGCAGGCCCAGTCTGAGACATGGGGTTTGGACATCCCAGAGGGGTCTGTGGTCTAATAGCAGTCTGAGATAATCTTTAGGGAGAACAAGGGAGCATGTGACATGAGGCAGAGCAATGCCTACCGAACAGTTCAGGGAAGCAAGATGGGAAAGGAACTGGACCACCATTTGTGGGAAGGAGAGCGGAACCTAACTGATAGGTAGAGGAATGTAGTTTCAGAGGAACTGCATGTCCCATGTGGAGGAGTATGGTCTAATTGGTGACATAGGGAAGGGAAATACCAGAGGAACCACATAGATATATGGGGTTGGAAACAGCAGGCCAGGAAGAAATGTCCAAAAGGGCCAGGCAGACCTTTGGTGTGGGAAGGTATGGCTCTGGATAGTCAAATAATGAAGACGCAAAGTCCTGGAGGAGGCAGGTACGCCCATAGGCTGGTGGAATGGTGAAGCTCTAGCTGTGGGCACTGGGACCAGAAGTCAAGGAGCATGGTAGACCCATGAAATGGGAAGTAGGAGGCCTGCCTGGATGTGTGGTGAAAGGCTGCCCTCCATGAACTGGGATAGGAAAGAGTAGAGAATACTGAACACGTTAAAAAATATGTATTAAACATTTATATTTTTTCTTTTTGGTGCTATCCTTTCAGATTATTTCCACATTTTTAAATTGATATACATGTTATTTATTCATTTATTGGACAAAAACCTTGTTGAGTTATTTTGGATAGTCTGAATATAAATCCTCTGTTAAGCATGTCAATTCTGTTGCCTGTCTCCTCACTGATGATTTCCTTTTATTAGCAGGAATTTTAATTTGGTATGATCCCACTTATCAATTCTTGCTTTTTATTTCTCTACTTTTAGACTCCTATCTAGGAAATCATACTCTGTGACAATATCTTCAAGAACCTCTATGTTTTTCTCTTGTAGTTTCTAGGCTTACACTATGGTTTTGATCTGTTTTGAGTTGCCTTTCTATACAGGATGAGAAAAAAATGTTGTATTAATTCTTCTAAGTATGGACACCAGTTTTTCTATTGTGCATTTTTGAATAGGCTGATCTGTATTCACTGTCCATTTTGGCATGTTTTCCAAGAATTTTTTGGCTGGAAATATGTTAATTTGTTTCAGGGTCAAGTGTTGCAGTGGGCAACATTCCTGTTTCATATATTATTAACATGCTGTCATTATTCATGCAAGTAGTAGTATGCGCTGAAATCAGATACTGTGATATCTCCAGATTTCCTTCTTCCATTCACAACCACTTTAGCCTTTGAGGATCATTTGCGCTTCTGTATTCACTTTAGCATTTTTTCTAGTTCTTTGACAGATGCCATTGATAGGTTGATGGCAACAAACTTCATTGAATCTGTAAACCATGTTGGTATATAAATTTTAATGACATTAATCTTATTTTCCCAATCCCTGAATATGTGGGCTTTACTTTAACCTTATTTTCTTCAGAGTTTCCCAATGTTTTGTAAATATCGTTGCAGAAGTTTTTATTAGCTTTCCTTCCTCTCTCTCTCTCTCTCTCTCTCTCTCTCTCTCTCTCTCTCTCTCTCTCTCTCTCTCTCTCTCTCTCTCATTCTCTTCTCTTCTTTCCCTTTGTTTCCTGTAGTGCTTTGGATCAAATATTGGACTTCGTGCATGGTATTCAAGGTCGTTACCACCAATCTGCTTCTTCAGACAGACAGAAAGACAGACAGACAGACAGACAGACACACACACACATTAATTTTGAGACAGGCTGTCACTAAGTTGTCTAAGGGTCCTTTGGAACACACCTTGCAGTCTAAGTAAGATACTTGTGCCCAAACCCCTTCCATCTTCAGCCTTCCAAGTAGCTGAAATGACTGAGATTATAGGTCTGCATATCTAGCCAGGCTTTTTTGTTTGTCCGGTTTCCTTTGTTTCTTTGTTTTGATTTGCAGCTTTTCCTTTTGTAGCTACAATCAAGGGGAGTGCTTTCTTCATTTCTTTCTTAGCACGGTGATTATTTTCCTAAAACTTCACTGAATATATCAGTTCCATTAGTCTTTCGGTGAAACCTTTTGGTTTCTCTGTGATTAGCATGGTATGATTTACAAAGAGGATAATTTGACATTTTGTATCCTATTTGTATGGTTTTTCCAAGTTCTTTTTCCTTGCCTACTGATTCTGGGTATGATTTCTTGTACTATATTGAATCAAAATGATGAAAAAGAAACTCCAGTTACTGATCTTAGTAGAAACAAACGCTTCTAGCTTTCCCCTCCCTCATTTGCTGTGATGTTGACTATGGGTTTGTAATATATTACTTTCATTATGTTGAGTTAGAATCCCACCTGCCTATTTCTTTCAAGTATATGATCCTGAAGAAATGTTAAACTGTATCAAATGCTTCTGCATCTATAGAGATAATCACC